CATCGCCTTAAGCAGAAAAACGTGTATTCTGGAGACATAACACAACACAAACATGGACTCCTGATATGGCCCGGCGGTCACAGGTCATTCAGACATTCAAGGACTTGGATTGTTGAATCACAATTTTGTTTTATTGTTGCTTTGAATTTCTTGTTTATTTGCCAAACACTGTCAGTGCCTCTGCTGTGCCACGTCCTCATCCAATCTGTTCCTATATTTTAAGAAAACAGATTTTCTCCCTTTGTGTCTCCCTTTGCTGCAAGAAAAAGAATAGAAGATACCCACGCATTTCCCACAGTAGCGTCAAGGCCACTTGAAATGTAAATCTTTGCTTTATTTTCTTTCCGTAGTGGGTTTTCTGAAAATAACCTGATTTCAGAATTCGGATACAAAGTGCAAACGCTGGAGCCACTGAGGCACGTTCCTAATGAAGAGGCGTATTAACAGGCTGCTGGTGGCTCCACTGTACGTGTCTGTCAAAGAGACAGACGTAGACTTGGTGTCGCAGCCTTACAGCTGTTAGCGACACTCTCTGTAGCTGTGGAGCCTGGTGGAGGCGGCGCTCATTGCTCAGGGATAAACAGGTAATTGAACTGGGGATATGTCAGTGAAATGCATTTGGTATACACACACGAACACACACACACAGCCTTGCACAACTATTCTTGGGACTAGACATTTACTTTCATACAGTTGCCCAAACAGAACTTTTTGCTAACAATACCCAGGTAATGCAGGATCTAAACCGTGGTCGGACTTAAAGTCACCCATTTAGCCTTTCAAGGTAAATTCTGGAGTACGAGTTTCTGGCTCTCCTTTATCCACAGGAGAGCTTTTAAACATAGACAAAAAAATACATGCTAACTCGCACAACGTAATTTCTTCAAGATTCAGAATTTTCAACTATATTTTTGTTTTATAATAATTTAATTTAAAGCAAAAGTATGTGCTTCTCTTACTGTAGAATCAAGCAGTGCTGCTCATTGCAACAAAACTTTGAACATTCTGAATAGTAACACATCATATACAAACTTTATTTAGATGAATGATTGCCACCAACTGGATCTACCCGAAAAGAGATCTATTTACATTTATCTACATCTATTCTTTATGTGACCCATTTTAGATAATACAATTTCTACATAATTTTCTTGTTACAGTGGTTTTAAGGCAAATTAATTTTAATTTCAATATTTTCTGTATTTGTCTCACAGTGGTAATTTCACCACTCATTTTATGTCAGTGTTTTCAAGCCAAAGCTGTGATTGTCAGAGTGCGAGAGTAAAATAAGAAGGTGAACACAAAGGTCTAATGAGAATAAGTGCTTTTAAATGTGCAGATTTTTTATCCTTGATTTCCACATTTTCAAAAAAAAAAAAAAATTAATGACAATGTCTTTATGTTAGTGCTTGGAAAATGGACCAGAGCATGCACATGGAGTGTTATTTTATGTTGTATTTAAGAATACATACACGATTTGTGCAATATCATGAACTAAATACAAAGTAATGGAACCACTGCTGTATAGATACAGTATATACAGAGCTATGAAATGTTTTACTGTTACCAAAACCTCTAAGCTGGCCTTTTCAGGGGTCGGCACAGTGGCCTCCATCTCTCCTCTTCTCTCTTACATCAAACGCCCTTCCCCCTTTACTATTGAAATCCATCCTCCCAGCAATATATTCACTTTATTCACCACATGTTGTAGCAGGTATCCCTGCTAGCATAACTAAACTGCCAGATTGGTGTTTTCAAATCACGTTACTCCTGTCAAAGGTTTCAGCGTCTTCCATCTGTCACCTCCAGCTCAACATCCCGTGTTTACACGATTCCACTGTCTGTGAAGCCAATAATCACAGCAGATCAAAGTATATCATTTAAAAAACCTTTCCTTCTTACTTTGGTTGGTATTTCTCTAGAATCTCCACTGCAGCTCCTACCATAACGATGACCAAAAGCCCCTCAGGAATCAGTTTCTTCTTCATTAAGATGTTTGTTCCCATATCAGGGGGGTCTGAAACCAGCAACAAAACAGGTGTCTTTTTTTTAATCATTTTACCAAGAAAAGGCAATTCACTGAGAGCTGTACTAATATTATACTATCTCCTTATAATACTGGTCTGATGAAACACATTCAGGCTAATTTTGGTCCATTGTTGGAGGACATTGCAGTGTGGCTAAAGAGCCTCATGTGGCTTAGAAGCTACAGGCATGTATTCTAGGGCCCCATGATTAAGTGGGCCCCACAATGAAATTATAATACTGACACAAAATAATATGTTAATTTTCTGAAATGATAAGTTTTATGTAAAACAGAATTAAAAATGTGTGTGTTAGGGCCCAGTAAAGATTATTTTCATGGGTCTCAAAATCCCTAGCTGTGCCCCTGGCCACAGCCTACACACCTGCGGGGGTTTAAAGTGATTTTGTTTGTGTATTACAGGTGTGTGCTAAACTGACTGGACGTCTTCAAACGCAACATTAAACCGTCGCTGTTTCAAAGTCTGGTGGGTAAAATGAGTGTTTTGTTACTTTTTGAGTCCACAGATCATAACAGAGTGGTGAAAATGTCAAAATATCGTAAACTGTCTCCGCTGTTGTTGTCTGACTCATTTTCCACCTGCAGGACAGCTGTGCGCCGCTGCCACGTCTCCTCGCTGTTTGGAGTGGACGCGCAAAGTGGGGGCGCACTCCTCGGGTTCCAAAAACCCTGCTGCTGCTGAGATGCGCAGCTGTGACTGAGAGCAGCCAACAGTGGTGGACACTACACCTTCCTTCCTCCACCTCTTGGCACGTCTGTGCACACAGAAGAACTGACTGTTCGCGCTGAAAGAGAAGTTTTGTGCCTATGTGTGTTTTTCAGCGCGGCTGCTTCCTCGCGCACTCGTACCCTCCACCTCCACACAGCGGAGGCACATTGTCTGTGACGCAGCGCGACAGTGCGGTGTCCGATTACACACCGTGCGCTGAGGAGACGCCGGCACAGAGCGCTCCTCTGTGGAGCAGAAATAGCCCGAAGAGAGCCGCGGAGGGGACGAGCGGAGAAATCACTGCAGAGAGACGGAGGAAGGAAGACAGACGGAGTTTAACCGACGACTCTTTCTGACGAGACAAAGAGCCAAACTGAGGATATTTCATCTGCGGCTCATCTTTATTTCGTGATCCACCTCACCTCTCCTACCAGCGGGTCAGGACGCGCAGCTCCACTCTCTGCTAGATGAACGGGAGTTGTTGGACACCTCACCTGGTAAGACCCCAGAAATATTTTTATTATAGACTGCGCACGGGCTTTTGTTATCAGATGCCTCTGAAGCTGTTCATTTAAATACAAGACAATTATCTTCTGTCAGAAGAATCCAGTGTTTTTTCCCCTCTCTTTTCTTGTCCTTTGTCATATTTCAACCATTTGTCACCGTTTTTAAATAATCGAAAACAGACATTGCTGCAGAACTGGTAAAAATCCCACCATCTTTAAGAACAACATTCTAGTTATTATCTCCAAATCTAGAAGCTCTGAACGCAAATATCACTTTGAGAAGTTTAGAATTTTTCTTTGACCACTTGGTGGTGCTGACAGAGTGCAACCTTTCCCAGGTCCCTGACTGTGCTTTCATCAAACCTTTAATTAATGTAAGTTCTCTCTCCTTCTCCCTCTCTCTATATATACTTTTTTCTTTTTGTCTTGTGCTCATGCATTTTCATCTATACTAAAATCAGCAGAACTGATTCTGCAGCTCAGGTCCCCAGCACTCCTGCTGCAGGTGCATGAGTGGATTAAGAGAAAGGAGAAAAATATGTTCTGAATCCTTTCCTTTAAATTTATCTGAGCTCACTCCAGCGTAAATTCAAATTTGCTGTGCCATAATGATTTTTTTTACTCAGTGTGAAAACCATGCATTTCTAACTACTTTTCTGTGTGCCTCTGAAACATTCACTCTTCCATTCTTCAGTTGTGATTATGACAGCCACGAATGAACAAACAACACTGAATTCTTTTTTTATAATAATATTTTTTATTATTATTTTTGATCTGTCTCTGGAGTTTTTCAACCTGATGGCAAAGTCAGTGCAGAATATTTGAATGCTTTATATAGAGCTATATACAGTATTTATACAGTATCTGAACACAAGCGTCACTTAAACCTTTCCAATGTGGAAAATCTCTGCAGAATTTTTCCTTTTACTTATTTATGCTGCATCACAAATGACACAAATAAAGGTTTTTTACTCAAAAGACTGAAAACAAATGAATGGCAGAAAATTGAAAGCAACTTTTTGAGCTAATGCTGTGAATGGAAGCTGGATCGATGGCAGTTTTAACTGATGTGCATCATTGTTGCGAGTTTCGCCCCTGACTCTTAACTCCCATGCAGCTCAGACTCAAATGGAAATTGTTTTAAAATTATTGTTGTTGTTTTTTACTTGAAGCCCAGAAGCATGTGCTGTTCTTTAATAGAAAATATGCTAATGTGTTTCCCTAGTAAGCAGAGACAATACTGGATTTTCTTATTTAGTTGATATAGCAGTAACAGAGGTCTGTGGCTGTTCTGGTTCTGCTGTGTTTTCGTATTGAAAGGCTTCGGTTCACTGATTGTTTGTCTACAGAGGTGAAGAGTGATGAGTGAAGAGAATTCCTCCCTTCACACATATGTTTACTGATTTGAAGAAGACAAAAAAAAACCCCACACTCCCTTCATCGGGTTGATGCGCTCCCTTTAGACCCACTGTGTCCAGCCCTTTATTAGATGGTAAAATCCCTCAGGAGTAGAAGAAGGGAAAATAAATGAAAAAGAAGCACCAAAGACACTGAGAGGGATGGAGCGAAAGTGTTGAATCAAGATGAAACCATGCCTTTGGGCAACAGAGGCCATTTGTACTTTGGATGAAGTTTAAAAGAAACGCTGCATGAAGAAAAGCATCATTAGACGTGCAGTGGCTCTCCAAATCATTGATCACTTCATTAAACGGCAATCTTTGAAGAGTTAAAATAATGGAAGAGTGAATAAAAACTAAAATAACTGCAAAAACAACACTGATACATGGTGGCTCGTATCGTCTCCTCATCTTTTAGATCTTGCTGCTTACTGATCCTGGAAACGCAGATGTGTATCTGGATTTCTATGTGTTTCTTTGTTTGATTATTTTTTTAATACAAATCAAACAAGTCCAACTTTACAGTGTTCATTCATTGGCTGACTCTTTAAAGATGCAAAAATAGATGCAGGTACTTAATGAAATAATGGACAGGTTAATTAATTGATGGAAGTGTTAGCGCCGACCCTGGAGACCATTTATATTGACATCCTGTCCGGTGGATTCATATTAGACATGAGCAGCCGATCCAGATGCGACACATTGCGGTGCAGCATATGATTAGCATGATTGATATTTTCTCTGTGTTGGGATTTTGCCCGCCCGCTGACACAGAACACCAGCACAAACACAGCAATTAGTCCCAGCCGAGAGAACTCCACCGTGAAAATGACCCAAGCGGCCCCGGCGGGGCTATGTGGTTGCCATGGAAACCGAATGACTGACAAACCCATTGTCATCGACCTTTGTGATTCAGCATCCCTCTTGGGGTCGAGCCCTGTTGGGAGCGAAAGTGAAAGGCATTGTCATGCACGTGTAAACTAAACAGCCTTTACCCTCTTGGCCCCTCTTTGCTCTTTCAGGACCTTTAGCTACTTATTTATCTGACACCAGCAGGATGGCACTTCGGGATCATTTGCTTGTACACACAGCCTCACAAAAGACGTGACTTTTATTGGCTGTGAAATGCACGGAAGCTCTGATTTTTACAAATCCTCCTCAGTGGATGATTTATTGCCTGTACGCTCAGTAAACTCCGGGACTCAGACAGTAGTTAAAGCTGTTTGCTGTACTTCCCTGTGTCGTTCACTACCACGGGCTATTTATACATCACAACCACTTCGCCATTATTTCATTCCTGCCTTTGTTTTTGCTGTCACTTGTTATTCCAAGATGATAGTAGCTGCAAAGAAGCACTCCCCACTAGAAGCATTGATTGGCAAGTTAAACAGGAAAAGTTACATCTTATAAAACTTTGAATAAAAATGTGTTGTCGGTTGTCAGAGTCAGTGCTGAAAAAATTACAGCATGGCACTCAATTTCTGTCAAAAATATGATGCGCAGTGTTTAGAATGTAAGTAAAGTTTATTTAAATCCAAAGTCCAGTGGTGAGCAGGTGAGCACAAGCCAGGAGAACTCATTACACTGTGCTTTACTCAAGTAACATGCTCAAAATATAAGTACAAGTGCATTGCAACATGAACTGCTCTATCAAAAGCTGCGATGCATTTGCTTAGAAATTGTTACTGTCACATAATTACAATTTGATGTAAAAATGAGTACAATTTCTAAATAATTTAAAACTGCCCGGCCCTGATCAGAAGTCATCGTTAAACGTTTTGAGTTTTGTGCTCGTGGGCAAGGTAGTACAGGGTTTTTTGATCCGTCCTCATGTTGGGAACATTGTCAGGAAGAATGCGTGATGTTCGTTATTTCCTTTTCCAACACCTTCTCCATATGTAGCCAGCTGCTGTGAGGTTGCCATGACTACCTCATGGTTTCCTGCAGGGGACTTGAGTGCCCACCATTCACACAGAAGAAGAAAACGCTGGCAAGATAAAAGTTTATCTTCCATGCTACTTGTGCTCTTTAAAGGCCAGAATGGCAACAGGTTGCTATAGAGATCGGCAGGAAGTGGGGCATCAGGGAGGAAGCGTTTGTTTATCATCCTTTCCAATCCTTTTCCAATCTGGACAATGCCTATGTTGCTGCCATAGAGACATAGAGAGGCTATGACATTAACATGTGCACACAAACTGTCCCTTTATTATCTGTTATTTAAAAAACACCACTGCAAACTTAAATACGGCTGGATGTGAGCAGTGTGAACAGCAGGAACACAAAATACAAATGATTATTGTAGAGGTGAAAAAAGTTTGTGTGTATGCCGGTGCACAAAACACACAAAGACACAGCCGCACCACTTCTCACTTCCTTGTAAAACAGGCAGTGGAAGCTGTGGTAATTTCACACTGCATGCTAAACAGCAGAAACAGCACAGAGGCAGGTGTAGGAAATAATTTGAGCTCACAGAGTGGAGGGGAAGCTCAGGCAGGCGATATGTGATCCTGGGTGCACCATTATTTCTGCTGCTTGGCTCCAAGAATGAATGTCTGTGGCTGGAGTTAAACATCTAGATTTGTGTCTTTCCATCCAAGTGCGCTGCTACGAGTTATTCTACTGCCGTCCCTTTACCGACTCTTACCTCAAATCCGCTGGGGAATCTGTCTTTTACCCACCATGTGGGCGCACAAGCAGAAGACAGACTCTATTTGGGTCACAATTAAATAATCCCTAAAGCCTCTTCCTCACTGGGGCTGCAGCCAGGAGGATACATGAAAGGTTAAACAGAGATTGGCCCCAAACTTCTGTGACAACAGGAGAGGCAATTATTTCAAAGTTTCAGAGATTGTTGTGCCTCGGTGGGAGGCAACCTCAGAAGAAGACGAGGGAGAAGGAGATTAGGGAGAGGGAGCGTGTCATGAGTGAGGGGAGAAGGAGGTGAAGAGGATCTTAAATTAAGAGATGGAGCATAAAGGAGTGAAGAGGCTTCGCTAGTCTTTGTTTATTGACTGATTGAGTGTCACAGGGCCATTTGAAGGGTGAAATGAGTCATGAGTTGTGACCAAACACACGGGACACACACACACACTCTCTCCCACACTTTTTTTTGTCTCCGGGCTGTCACCCAGCTGTATTTCTCCGGGAGATGAATGACTGTGAAGCATGAATGAGAGGATCATTTGATAGCACTGCTCAGCTCGTATATTTCTCCTTTATGGAAGCGTCTTCTTTCAGGCTCCAGCCTGTGCCCTGGTGGTGCGAGTAAAACTGGGCTGCCTACCATGAGATTTTGACAATCTTCACTATTGTCACAGCCCGTGTGTGCGTTCGACGTTATTTATTTATTGAAGTGTCATGGGACGTTTTGTTTGCCATGTGTTTTTTTGGTATCATCAGAAAGAGGTAATGGAGCTTAGGCTTTCATTGGTTGGAGTTTTAATCCTGCAGGAGACATGCATGGCTGTGTCTTATCTTCACCAAGCGTATCATTGCACAATAAAAAAAAAACCTTTTGATGTGATATGTTTGGAACTATCAGTTTGGAACTATATCCCCCACACTGCAAATAACCATAGAGGCAGTAATTTAAGC